CAGTGCAGGAGCAAATAGAAGCTGTAGATCTGTCTCCATTGGGAACGGTGGAGCAGGGTCCGGTTAGGACCCTGTTGTGGCGTTATCAGTCTGTGTTTGCAGGTGACGGCACGGATTTAGGGTGTACCAACTTGCTATCGCATGACATTCCCCTCTCCGACGATGTCCCAGTCCGGCAGCGATATAGGCGCTTGCCTCCCTCCGAATATGACGTGGTGAAGACGCACATTCATCAGTTGCTTGAGGCCCAGATAATTCGGGAGAGTTGTAGTCCCTACGCCTCTCCTATTGTCTTGGTCAAGAAGAAAGATGGTAGTCTACGCATGTGCGTAGACTACCGTCAGTTGAACTCAAAGACCAGGAAGGATGCGTTCCCACTGCCTCGCATAGAGGAAACATTAGATGCATTGACAGGGGCCCGCTGGTTTTCCACCTTGGATTTAGCCAGCGGGTACAACCAAGTTCCAGTCACTGAGGGGGATAAGCCCAAAACCGCATTCTGTACTCCATTCGGGTTATTCGAGTGGAATAGGATGCCTTTTGGACTTTGTAATGCTCCCAGCACCTTCCAACGGTTGATGGAAAGGTTGTTTGGTGACCAAAGGCATCAGTCGTTGCTTTTATACCTCGATGACATTGTGGTTTTTTCCTCCTCAGTGACACAACATCTGGAAAGATTGGAGGTGGTTTTGGGTCGATTACAGCGGGAAGGCCTCAAAGCGAAGTTAGAGAAGTGTGCGTTCTTCCAGCAACAGGTAAAGTATTTGGGTCATGTGGTGTCTTCTCAGGGGGTGGCCACAGATCCTAGTAAGGTGGAGGCTGTGGCCAAGTGGCCTTGCCCGGGTAATGTTACCGACCTCCGTTCATTTTTGGGGTTCACCAGTTATTACCGCCGTTTTTGTGGAGGGGTTTGCGAAGTTGGCGGCCCCTCTACATAAACTGGTGGCAGAGTTCATTGGGGGCAAGCGTAAGAGACCATCCAAGGAGGGCTTTGCCAGTGCCTGGACAGAGCATTGCCAAAGGAGTTTTGACTCCTTAAAGGAGAAGCTTACCACAGCACCCATTTTAGCTTATGCCGATTTTTCATTGCCGTTTATCTTGGAAGTTGATGCCAGCCATCGGGGGCTGGGGGGGGTTCTGTCCCAAGAGCAGGAGGGAAAGATCCGACCCATTGCGTATGCCAGTCGTAGTCTGCGGCCCACTGAGCGGAATATGGTAAATTACAGTTCTATGAAATTAGAATTTTTGGCGCTCAAGTGGGCAATGACAGAAAAATTCAGGGAGTATCTGTTGGGGCATAAGTGTGTTGTTTTTACAGACAACAATCCCCTGAGTCACTTGGCGTCAGCAAAGCTGGGGGCCACGGAACAGCGTTGGGCTGCCCAGCTTGCTGTTTTCGACTTTCAAGTTCGGTATCGGCCAGGAAAGAGTAATAGTAATGCTGATGCTCTGTCGAGACAGCCCCCAGCTGATAGCGAGGGGGTGGGACAGCTACTACCGGCTACTTTGGTCCCGGCAGTTGTACATCAGGCAGCAGGAGTGGAGCCGGTATATCAGGCTACTCAAGCAGCGCTTAAGATTTCCCAAGTTATTCAGCAGCCGATCTGAGGGCGTTACAAGAATCTGATCCAGATATTGAGAAGGTTTTGTTTTTTTGGCGGCGCGAGCGCTACCCTAGCTTGGATGAACGACGACTATTATCTAAGAACAGTTTGACTTTTCTCCGTCAGTGGGACCGCCTGCTGGAGCGTGGGGGGGTTCTTTACCGTCGGATCTTTCGCCCTGATGGCAGGGAGGAAATCCTTCAAGTACTCTTGCCCTCTGTGTTAAAGAAAGAGATTTTGAGGTGGCTGCACCAAGAGCATGGACACCAGGGCATTGAACGAACGACGGAGTTAGTTCGTCGGCGTTGTTATTGGCCTGGAATGTCAGGAGCTGTAGCCAGTTGGTGTAAGGAATGTGAACGTTGCCAAGCTGCCAAAGGTGTACAGCCAGTTGCCTCCAGTTTTATGGGGCATTTGCTGGCCTCCAGGCCAAATGAGATCTTGGCTATCGATTACACTGTATTGGAACCATCCAGCTCAGGTTTAGAGAATGTGCCCGTGATGACCGATGTCTTCACAAAGTACACGTTGGCGGTTCCTACAAGAGACCAGAGAGCTGAAACTGTGGCTCAAGTGCTAGTGGTCGAGTGGTTCTGTAAGTTTGGGGTTCCTGGTCGTATACACTCTGACCAGGGCCGTAACTTTGAGTCTTCACTCATACGGCAGCTGTGTAATTTATATAAGGTGGAGAAGTCTCGTACCACACCTTATCATCCGGCAGGGAATGGTCAGTGCGAGAGGTTCAATAGGACCCTGCACGACCTTTTGCGTACTTTGCCCCCCTCAAGCAAGAGGGATTGGGCCTTATGTCTCCCGCAGGTACTGTTTAGCTACAATACTACCCCCCACCAATCAACAGGTGAGTCACCATACTATTTGATGTTTGGTCAAGAGCCTCGTTTACCAGTTGACTTTCTGTTGGGTAGAGTAGAGGAGACGACTACAGGACACGTACATGAATGGGTGGTGGAGCATCAGACACGACTGCGGGTGGCGTTTGAAGGTGCACAGGAGCACCTTAGGGCTGCCGCCGAGCATCGTAAGGCACTATATGACCCTCATGTACGAGATTCACCACTGGGGGAGGGTCAGATGGTCTATCTCCGCAATTTTGGCGTGAGAGGTCGGTCAAAGATCAGTGATCTGTGGAGCCCAGTGGTGTATCAAGTGGTGAGGGCCCCTAAGGAGAGGGGTTCGGTCTACTCTATTGCCCCCGTAGATGATTTGGACAAGGTAAGACAGGTACATCGTTCCATGTTGAAAAAACGCAGTCAGAAGGACCCCTTGGTCCATAAGTCCATGTATGATCCTGTAATTGAATCGGGGCCATCTTCGGGGGAGCAGGCTTCCGAGGGGTCAGAGCAGGGAGATTTGTGGGTTTTGGAACCAGGGACCCCACCAGAGCATATCCGGGGACCCGTCGGGTCAGGGGTTGTGGAGGTTTCAACGGGCAGTAGACTTGAGAACTTGGCTGATCCAAATTGGACCTTTGGAAGTGAGTTAGTCCAACAGCCCCTCGCCCGTCCTGAAAGTTTGTCTGATGGGGCTGATGTAGTGCCGCAACGATCCAGGCGAGTAACTGCTGGTCAGCACTCCAACCTCCACCATCTCCCGCGGTCGGTGGGAGTGTTAGGTAATGTTGGAGTGTTGCCCGAGGCGTCATCCAGGGCAGTTGTGGCGTGGTTTAGACCCTGGGATTGAGTGGCAAGGGTTGGTTTATCGCCGGGGCGACGATACAAAAGTTAGGGGTAGATTGTGGCAGGTCCAATGAAATTCGTCCCGCCTATATGCGGTTGGCTCGCCTACTTGTTAAGTTGCTCCTATCAGTGAGCTGCAGTAGCGTCTATAAACGGGTTGTTTAGAGTGGGTGATGTTACGAGTCACCGCCTTTACTTCCGGTGTCGTCATTTGGCCGTCATTCAGGGTGGCGTATGAATCCCTACGGCTGGCATTGAGCGAGACTGTCCCTCTTCGGGTAGGTGAAAGAGTTGATTGTGTTATCTGAGTATCCGTTTCTACTGTAGCAGTACCCTTGTGTGTTTACAGTCAAAGGTTGGAGTGAGGCTGATTCAAGCACGGGTGTTTATAGGCTATTTGTAGCCCAGTACGAAGGCGCTTGGTCGTCATCGGCGCGTTCGTTCCCCCACGATAAACTGGACGAGCCCTCAGCTTCCATGTATATCCGGTTGCCTAACTGATCGGGTGTCTGGCGATCGCACTTACAAGGTATGTGCGTTTATAATTTAAGGGTGGCGATCTCCTGTAGAGAGAAACTGATTTTATGAACAGCTGTAACTAGTTAAATTATGGAGATCTCGTCTAATTGTTAAACTGGTAATTTTACAGAGGGATTGGGTACAGAGTGGTCGTGTTATGGGCGATTTGTTCCGTGCTGTGGGACTACGTGGGACATCGTCTGGAGGCGCTGCTGCTTGCTTCTGATATTTGCATTGAAATTGTTTTTTGTGTTTGTTACCGAAGTGTGTGTGTGTGTGTGTGTGTGTGTGTGTGTGTGTGGGTGTGTTCATTTTCCTTTTGTAAGATTGTAATATTGTTAGTGTGTGTATGGTTGAGTTGTGATACTGCACTGGTCAAGTTGATGTGAATTTTGTTAACTGTGAATTTCTTTATTTTCTTATTTTTGTGTGGTCAGAAGTGGTTCTATTTATCTCTTTTTGTATTGGATTTATTTTGGCATCCTAATTGTTTATGTGTAAGTAGAGAGGCGATAACCTTGTTCTGTTGTCTTTAGTAAAGTGACTGTTTAGTGTGAGAGAGCCTGAGTGGTGTATACCCTGAATCTGTTACAGGGGTTAAGTGCTGGAGCCGGCGCGGAAAGCTGGTTGTGGTCTGTTATCACGAGTGCTGTGTCCTGAGTGGTGTACGTGTGCGAGAGTGCCGAAGCACAGGGGTATGGGAAGAGTGATTTGCCGTGGAGGCCATTTTGTGTTTTATTGTCAAACTTCAGCTCCCCTGTCCAGATTCAGCTGTAACTGATTACTCAGTTGTTTTGTGTGTTGTCAAATGGTGTAATTGTTGTGGTCTATAAACTGTTGCTGAAGGTTTGTTCTGTGCTCATGAACCTCAAATTTTATCTGTAATAAAATTTATATTTTTTCATCCACGTCTCCCGCCGTTTACTGTGAGCGAACCATGCGTTGCTTTAAATAAGAAATATTATTCTATCGTCCCTGGCAGGATTCCAGGGTGGCGTAGTCGCTAACTGATCAACCTGGCCACATAAGCCTTCTGTAAGGACATTGTTTTATTTGCCTAATGAATAATGAGCTATCCAGTTGCAACATCACAAAATCATTAGGATATTTTACAATTTAAGTAACTTAGCCTACTATTCTATATAAATACCCGAACAGTCTTTTAGCTGTTCCAGCTGAATATTCTCACTCATACTGTCCATGTTTGTTCAATAATTCAGCCAATTCCTCGAGTCTGATGAAGAATTAGCTGGTTAACTTAATCCACCAGCTGTGACTGCATGAACACTTTGTGCCACTTTGTTTACCAACAATAGCAAACACACGTGCCACCATGGACATGGCGTGTGCTGTGTGCAGCCCCACCGACTCATTCATGGAGCCTGTTTACAAGCACATTAGATATCCAGACATCACACAATGGCCCTATTCTTTGCTTCACAACTCCACCTCCAGATGAGGACTGCAAATGGGTCAGTGGCCCTGTCCTTCTTGGAGATGTCACAGGCGCAGAGCTGGGGAACACAGTCACTCTTTCACATGTCCTCCTCTGCATATTCCTGCTGCCGCCCAGCACAAGGCAGTGTTGCCTAAACACCACACTGGAATGGCTGCTCCTCCCCAGTTATCAGTCCTTCGCTGGATCCTCCTCCTCACCATTTCAGGCAAGAAACTATAAAATTATGTAAGGCGTGATAATGTGTTGTGAGAGATTTAACTTATTACAGAAGTAATCTAAAACAACGATAGATAGATAGATAGATAGATAGATAGATAGATAGATAGATAGATAGATAGATAGATAGATAGATAGATAGATAGATAGATAGATAGATAGATAGATAGATAGATAGATAGATAGATAGATAGATAGATAGATAGATAGATAGATAGATATTTTTACTGGAAGACAAGACAAAAATACTGTTTTTAACATTATAAATGTTTTTTTTTTTTTTTTTTTTTACTAATTCTATAGATAAAACTGTGTGTCAACATTCCAATCTAAAGGAACCTTCATAGTTTGGTTTTACAAAAATTTTTGTACGTTTTAAAAATATTTCATTATATAGCCTACACTAATAGTGGTTCTCAACCAGGGGCCTCGGGCCCAATACAAGCTTCCAAGGGGGCCTCAAGATGACTTAAAATAATTTCACAAGCCTGCCTGCCCATCCAGTCTTAATAGTTAATGGTAAATGAACTTGGCTTGTTGTTCGAGCTCAACCCCCTTATGACGGTACTATAGAGGGACAATGAGAGAAATGTAGATGAGAGATGGGGAGGTGGAGGGATGCCGGAAGAATTGTCACCTCTGAAATGTTGCTTATTTTTGTGCTGTGCAGTTGACAGGTGCTCCGTGTTGGCGTTTCAAGTGACGGAGGGCAGCACGGTGATTTTGTCATGTCATTACTCAGTGAAGCACCATGGCCTCAGCCACGTCTGCTGGGGACGGGATTGTGGAACGTTCTGGTGCAATGACATCATCGTCCAAACAGATGAGTACGGCGTCATCTCCAAAGTCTCCGACAGGTACAGGCTCATTGGAGACGTTCTGTCAGGACAAATGGACCTCGGGATCCAAAGAATACAGAAGGCGGACAGTGGCCCATACTGCTGTAGAGTGGACATAGAAGGATATTTCAATGATAAGAAGATGTCCTACACATTGAGGGTCATGAAAGGCAAGTCATACAGATGCTTTAAATTTGGACAACATTTGGAGAGCTTCATATTTGAATAAATCGTCATGTATGTTCATTTCCGAAGCCCCAACGACTGTGCCTCCAACAACCACGACCCCGATGACTACAGAACAACAGGACACACAGACAGGTGAGGGGCTTTTATAAGGCAAGACACTACAGATGAACTGGGTAGTTATTTTAACAAGTGTATTGTACTAAAAGTATGTGAAATGTTATGTGTAAATATGCAAATGAGGCATTATGTATTTAGAAATATGCACTAGTTTCCATAAATCTCCAGAACAGAAATATGAACATTAGATGAAGCCAGGTTCAAAATTTGTTGGCATAATAAAGGTTTTGACAGAGGTGATTTTGGATATCTCTTTTTATCACTCCATAAATCAGAAAATACTGTCAACAGCCAGAACAACAATACCACCATATTTTTAGGAATCAATTGTTATAGAAATCATGATGAACAAACCCCTCTGTTCAAACCTTCAGAATATAGATAGGAAAAAAAACAATGGTATTGCCTCCTGTGACTTGCCTTAAAAACATTTTTTTGCCGATAGACTAATTCCTTTATACTTGATTTGCACAGTAAGTGTCGTGTAAGTTTTTCCTTAGACAAACCACAATATATGATGAATCAACGATTGCATTTCAGTTATTATTTCTATGTGCACAACCTTAACATGACAGAGACCACATAGTGCAGCAACTCAAATGTCACAGACCCTTGTGGGTAGAGATAATGTGTCTCACGAGTCAACTGGCATTAGCTGCAAAAGCAATTTCCTGTTTCATTCTGAATTTCATAGTGTCATCACTGTCAGATCAGTCCAGAGGAGCAGATTCATCATTCTCTGACATTTCCTGGCAGAATGTCACTCATGTGCTTTCTGGGGCTATGGTGAGTTACTAGTGCTCAAACACAGTATATGAAACATGAATATGAAAAAAATATGAACATATTTTTATGGTACTCCCTCTATACACAATCTATCTAATCTATCTATACACAAAAGTTTGGAGACAGATTTTTCTAAATACTTTTATTCAGCAAGGATGCATTAAATCGATCAAAATTGACAGTAAAGATATTTATTGTAACAGTGGTGCCTATAATGATGCGCACAATGAAGGAGCTGAAGAGCCTTTAATTAATAAATTCACAATGTAAAACTCAGGAAATCACAGGAGAATAAACCCAATCACATTAACTAAGACATTGTCAATACCAGACAGAGAACAAAGAAAATCTCAGGGCTTAAAGTAATGAGGAGCAAAGAGGAAGAACCGAAACAGCTGTGATAAACTAAGGAAAACGGGAACACAGAAACTAAACAGAAACTGTGACAGTACGCCCCCCACCGGAAAGGCGCATCCTCGTGCTGACAACAGTCCAAATGGGGAAGGAGGGTGGGGACCGTGGAGGTGGACGAGAGGCTGGTGAAGGGCAGAAAACAAGAGGAGGTTGTGGTGGGTGAAACCAGGATGGCGATGACAGTGGGATAAGCCAGGATCAAGAGTAGCCATGCAGTGACCCAGACAACAGCCAGGTCGATAGCCCACAGCGGAGTAGCCATGGTAGCTGACGACACCAGAGGGATGACTGATGGATGTGAAGACCCAGGTGGAGCTGAAGAGCCGATGAGCCCATGCGACATCGGTGGCTCTGGAGACCGAGGTGGAGCCTCAGCGACGAGCGTTCGAGGTGCAGCCAGAGGACTGAGGTGGAGCCGGTGGGACTGAGGAATAAGATGGAGCCTCAGGGAAGGCGAAGCCAAAGGGGTGGAGAGAAGGACTGCAGCGGACGGCTCGGAAATTCGTGGCGCAGGCAGAGCGACATCTGACCAAGGCGGAGCCAGAGGGACGAGGGAGCCCGGTGGAGCCGTAAGGACAATAGTCTCTCATGGAGCCGAGGGAGCCAAGGCGGAGCCAAAAGGGTCGACGGACCGAGGTGGAGTGACGGGATCAGTGCCTGGAGGTGGAGCCAGAGGATCCTCTTGGCTGGGCGGAGCTGGAGACCTGAAGACCCAAGGCAGATCCACACAAAAGAGTGCCGTTAGAGGAGGAGTCGAGGGGCTGAAGGGAACCAGCTGATGGACTGGCTGATTTGGGAAGAGGAGGCGGGAGAGGGAGGCTGGGTGGGAACTCTGGAGACACAGAAGACTTTGTTCTGGACAGGACCAGCGGGAACAAGAGACATAGGGAAATATCCTCTTCCAAATCCTCAAGTAATAATGCAGAGGTCAGATTATCCGGGGGTCAGACTCTCTCAAATGCTCTGGGGCAATGGTTTGCTCAGTCCTCTTAACTGGCTCCTGCATCGCGGCAGGGTTGGACTCCCTGTCTGCAGTGAACGCTGATCTGTTATTCAGCACCCACTTACCCCGAAGTTACCCTGAGGACCGACATCGGGCAGGCGTGCTTTGGTATCTGGTAAAGGGAGCAGTCCAGAAAATGTGTGTAGCGTGCCAGTTGTAGGAATCCTAGGGTGTTGGATTTCTGCTCTTGCTCCAGGCAGAGTAGCAGGACAGCTGGTAAGTCCATGACTACTCAGTTTGAGGGTCTGGTATTCTGTAATGGTGGTGGCTATAATGATGCGCACAACAAAGGAGATGAAGACAAGAAGAACAGAAGAGCCTTTAATTAATAAATCCACAATGGAAAACTCGCAGTAGAATAAACAAGCAACTATTAATAAGCAGTAATTAGGAGTTTATTTATGTAAAAGTTGTAGTTGATAGTTGGACCCTAAAGTAAAGTGTGACCAAAAAATCTTACAATCCCCAAATAGTATTAAGAAATTTGATAAAAATATAAATAGATATAAAGAGTAGGGTGGAAGTATAACATTTAAAAAGTGTTTGAGGAACTGAGACTGTTTTATGACAGCTGTTTTTTAGCTGAATTGTAACCTTAAAATGACGAAACCCTTGTGAATTTGTGATTTAAAGATGGAAGAGCCGATCTCTCGGATCACACTACAGATAAACATCCCGGTGTTGTCTCTGTCTCTCAGTCTGCTACTGCTCCTCTTGGGCGCTCTGGCCTTTTTCACCTTCAAACGTACGTATGGCTATGAATCTACTGGACATTTGTTTAATGACATTTCTATAATAAATAAGTTACGTTGTAATGTACATTCTGAGCTGAAAGGAAATATGTATATTCTGATTCAGGTGGCCTTTATGGGAAGGCATTTAACAGTGGGTGGTAAGTATGTGATTCACTTCGAGAATACTATAATGCTCTTTGAGATGCAGTGTAATTACCATGATTGCTGTGTTTTGAACCTCAGTTTCTCAAAGGAGCCCCGACACATTATATATGAAATACGCACAAGAAGACCAGTGGAGGAGAACATCTACACCCTGGAATAAGAAACAAAAAACACCTGATTCTCGCCGTTACTCATACACAGACATTCACACATCCTGCAAGTCTTTAATATTGTTCAGTTTTTGATTTAAGAAAGGGATTGCTCACTCAAAAATTTGTGGAACTGGTGATGTCATTCTAAAAATGTGTATTTTGTAAGAACATAATGACAAACTTTTCATTTTTGTGCGGAGGATCCCTTTGAGTATGAAATCTCCTGTAAAATTGTAAAAAAGAAAATATATGTCTACACATTTTTTTCTTTCCTTTACATATAACCTTTCATTTAAAAAATAAATAAATCTGGAATTTTTACTATTGATTCATTTGTTTGTTGGTTGTTGTCGCATTAGACTTAAACATACTGACTTTGCTCACATAGGGTTTAACAACTTCCTCTCCAAAAATGTATATTTTTAATCTCTTTTTGGGGAGGGTGGGAGTTTGGGTGCTGGAGGGTTTGACCTTTTTACATTTGTGGTGAAAAAATTGCTTATAAATCTCTCCATATTGCTACGTATTGGATTCAGTCTTTATCAGCTTGTTTTCTTTCAATGAGGACATTTTTGTAACGAATTGATCGTATAAAGCTCAAGTCTGCATAAGCTCAGACCAATGAGGCTTACGATCAGTCAAAAAGAAAAAGAAATGCAAAACGTGCTAATTAAAAGAATTGAAGTTGGCAAAAATATTTAATCCAATATTTGGTGTCTGATAATATAGCATAATGAGAGATTTACAAGCAATTTAAAAGGCCGGTAATTTTTGAACGGGAACACCGAATTTGGTAGCCTGAAGCATTTTCAACAGCCACAGCCACAGCATGAAGTCATGATCTGCAGTGTAAGAGCATTTTTCACCACACGACGGCAGACTTTCTTCAATTTCCGTTATAACTGCTTTTAGTCACTTTTTATACACTAAAATAAGCCTTTTTTCAAGATGTATGCATTTCAGTTAATAGTAAAATTCCAACAAATTTAATTGAATAATCCTTACATATTATGAATTAAGAATTAACATTTTAAAAAACCTATAGATCTTAATAAAACATTTTGCATGGAAACTCTTTGACCTAGTAGCTTATATTTACTTGAAGTACCCCTGAGACTTGAAGTTAATAAGTTAGGTCAATGATAAAATTGTCAATAATAATAATAAAATTAAGTTCACGGTTCTCTGATGGTTAATGGTCACGTGACGTTCAGGTAAACAAATATTTTTGTAACAAGTGTTATATATTTTTTAACAAGTGTTTTATTTTGATTGCTTTTATTTTAAAATTAGTTATTTTAATTAAAAAGAAATATGATTTAATACAAGATTATCCTTTTCAAATCAATGCGATAAACAAGTTAGGTCAAAATTAGCCTAATCTAAAAGTAAGCAAAAAGTAGTCCGATTATATTACCCTAAATATGTAATGTTATGGATTATGTTAGCCTACTAACAACATTTTTTGTCATGTAATTTGGAATCAGTAACTGGTTATAATTTCTGAAACAGGCTGGTAGGGTAATGCGCACTGATTTTCATGATGAACGCGATGTCTTGCGCCCTCATGTGGCTGAGAGAAAAAAATACAACCACTTCCCACCACTTCAAGTAAATAGTTAGTAGCCTAGAGTGGTTTCATGTTTTGGTTTCAAACACTAAAACATAAAACATAACCATAATCCCAAACCGGCTATTATTATATTTTTGTAATAGGCCTAGCTGTTGGGTAAATACATTCTGGAATACATTCAGGTCAACTTTGTGTTTTACGTATGTCATACGGTGGCCTCAAAAAATATTAGGACAGTTCAGACACACTTAAAATGTATGTCATTGCATTATCTGCAAACACATTCTCAGTTTTCTCAGAAACTAGCTGAGCCATTCATTCTTCCATTTACTTTTAACCAACTAGTGAATTTGTAAAGTCAAGATCACACATGGTGTCCTATTGAGGTGTCTAGTTGTAGTGCATCAATTTACATCAGATTAAAATGTGATAGCGAAATATTTTGGAAGCCACTCTGCACAAATTAAACATCTGTCTTTATACTTTCTTGCTACAAAAAAATGTATTATATTAAAAGTGAAGTGCTCTATGAGAATGATTCAAATAAAATCTGTAAAGTGTAATAATAACATTAGGCCTAAAGATAACAAAAACAATAATAAAATATGTATTTATACAATATAATATCATACATTTTGAATCACACAAAGATTAATAAATAAAAAAGCTAAAAAAATATATGAAAAAATATAACATTTTAAAAAGTGATGTTCGGATGGGAACCTATTTTTTAAAGTTTTTCCTCATCTGCAGTACGTCTGTAGGACGTTTCCTGTCAGATGTCAAATATACGTTTAGAAAATGTCTTTAAGATGTTTATGGTTTAGAATGTATGTAAAACTGACATCTTAAAGACGTCTATCAGATGTTAGTAAACAGCAGATGCTTTCCAGATGAAGTGATCTTTAACAGACATCTTGCCGACGATTTATTTATTAATCACTGTTGCTCCAAAGGTTCCTTCCACGGCAACTGTGTCCCAAAGATCCTGTCAGGTCCGCTCCAGAAATCAAGGCCGCCATAAAGGTCACAGAGGTCAGAGTCACTCACAGGCAACAAAGAGGTTACTTGCGTACCTTTTCAGAGCTGCCCTGCTGCTGCAACCCTAGAACCCGCTACGGTTCCACAGCTGTGTCATAGCATGAATAATATTACATCTGTGTGCAACTTTTAACCACATGTTTGAGAAAATAAACACATAATGTGTTATTTTATCGGGAAAACATTTAATAATCTGTAAATATTAACTATTCTGCTTCAATCCTACACAGGTTAATTATCTAATTTGAGCAGTTTCATCAGGTAAGTAACATCTAAAAGAGGAATTACCTCCTTTTACTATTTAAAGTGCAAAGTCAAATGTTAAAATTTGTGTAAAAACAGGATTTAAAAAGGAAATAATACTGGGTTACCTTATAGTGGCCGATATCTTCGTAAGACAATACAACAAAATCAACATACAAATCTGCCAAATTTTCTATATGTTGTAATCACTATGATCACAAAATGTAATCAATGCTTTAACATGCTCATTGTTTCTGCTTAACTGAAAACTCAAATGATCTGTATTATCTTAGACCTGTACAGTTCTGCCGTATGGACATTACTTTAACAGTCACCTCTGATAACAGATTACTCTTAATTGTACCATATAAAAATGCATCTTCTGTAAAGCTACTTTGAAATAATGTGTATTGTAAAAAGCGCTATACAAATAAATGTGAATTGAAAAATATGTAATGGGAAACTAAGAATAACTGAGTTACAGTTAAAAGACTTACAAACCATCCACTACATGAAAAGTGTTTCAACTTGCATTCCATAAAACGTACCTCAGTGGGAAATTTACCATCAAAAGGCATGTGATATTCCTTTTTACAATGTCATAATGGAAAATTAAATTATTTTAACTCAGTTGAATGTATGTAATATTGCCATTCATTAATTATGAGGGAAACTCATTTGGGTTAGTATGTCAACTCGCCATAATTTCAAATAAACTTTATTTTTACATAAACCGAGTCTGAATTGATCACACATACAATAAAAAAAATCTCTAAATGACAGAAATAGCCTGTCTCCAACCTTCAAGCTACCATCTTTACACAACTTATTTGAACAAATACTCGCTGTACAATACAGTATAACAATGTGCCTTCAGAATACAGTGGTTGCTTTCATTGTTTCTTTCTAAATGTCCCAAATACAGTGCATTAATAAATGTATACACATTTCAGTTTTAGAGGAATGCATTGTACAGATAAAAAAAAAAAAAAAAAGAGTCTGCAGAAAAAAAAAGAAAGAAAAAAAACAGAACAACAGCTACAGTACACAATTAATTTCCTTGAGGAATCTTTTGATTAAGAGGAAGAAAAAAAACAGGCATCTTAAGGCTTATGTTGAATTAGATGGACCTTCGTCAGGAAGTATAAAGGTCTGCAGAGTAAATACTGCTATGTCATACTGCCCTTTTATATTTCAACCGAACAAAACACTGATATTTATAACCGTCATCCAAGAAAGTCTATTCTTACTATCAAAACAAGTCGAGAGGAAAGACAAAAAAAAGAAAGAAGCGGGAAGCTGTTCGCCTCCGGTTCCGTTCTGTCAGTTTGAAGATGAATTCTAACAGGACGTCCGATACACATAAAACCTTTTTGAAATATTTGCATCCTTCAGACTGTCTCAGCAACTCATTCTGGAATGTACAATGTTGATGGGTCAGCGTCTGTGACTGCCTGCATATGATAGTAGTCGGCATGTCTTCATTAATGGGCGTCTACGCCTGCGCGCCTCGTGCGAGGGCAGCAGGGTTCCTGAGAGGCCTGCCAGTGTAAGGTAGCAGGTGGTGCAGAGCTGAATGCTGGCGGTGGAGGTGAGGGGGGGGGGGAGGAGATCTTCCCCAGATAACTTTCAGTTCTCCTCAATGAGGGTGATATCTAGTTCAGTACAATCCCTTTCAAACACGCTAGTTTGTCCTCCGTCGCGGTCTTCGGGGTCCTCCTCCTCTCTCTCCTCCTCCTCGTCACTTTCACTTAACGGCCCGATACTTGTCCTGCCCAGGCCTTCAGCTGGTGAACATGAGCCTCTGAAGTCTCCAAAAAAAGGCTCAAGGCCCATACAGACATCGCCTCCACAGGCCAATCTGCCACGTTCCATATAACTAAGAGGGTCTGTGCTTCGAGTCTGAAAACGAAGGGATAGTAGTTTAGTTTAGTGACGAAAAAGCATGGGTGTAATTTCTAAGATTGCCCCCGCAACTTTTTGAGACACAATTATTATATATTTTAAGAGTTTTAGGTGCCGTGGACAGATGCCACGTATCGTTTCTGCTGTGAACTGAATTAAGTCATTACATTCGTGTTAAGCTACTATAGCTAGCACACATTTTTTAATAAGGATTACTAGGCATGTGTTACAGCACCTAATCAATATTCATAAGTAAAGCTGACAAGGGTTATACGTTTTTTAAACAAAACAATTTGTCAGTTGAAGTTAGACATTTGGGTAACACTTTACAATAAGGTTCATTAGTTAACTACCTTAGTTAACATGATCTAAGAATGAACAATACTTCTACAGCATTAATTAATCCAAGTTAATATTAATTTCAACATTTACTAATACACTATTAAAATCAAAGGTTGTATTTGTTAACATTATTAATGCACTGTGAA